TTAGGGTTCCAATCATCTTCTTCATCAGAAGCGATTTTCGTTTGTGTGAGTGAGAAAGGAGGAGGATACTGTGTATGGAGCGAAAGCAAAGCATCATAAGCCCACGTGGCAAAGTCAGAGCAGCATTGGATTTTCTCTTAAAGTGACAGGTCGGTGCTCACCCGCATTAAATTTGTACCGTCGGATTTACGCGAGTGCTTGACACGTGGTTGCAGCGAACTCCTTGGATTGTGCGTGACGGTAAAAAGAATGCTTTAGGAATCTCTCCCTCCACTAATCCTCAGGGCCATAAACGTCATTACACTCTTTAGTACCCACCCAAAAAAAGAAACCAAATATAAGCCCATGGGCCAATTATAGGCAAAGAAAGGAATATTGACGTGAGTTGAAAACATAAGGCCCATTCATTCACTCCACCTTAAAATCAAATTCAAACTTCTCTTTGAAAATGGAACATGGTTACATTGTATATCTAGTTTCTTTTTTTTTTTAAAGTTCTTCTATTGAAAAGCATATGGTAAGGTTACAACATGGATAAAAAAAAATACAACATAAGAACAACACTAAAAGACATTGTATATCTAGTTGTTGAGCTTGTATTATCAAATCAGAAATAATGAGATTAAAATAATGTGATACATATTTTCTTTGCTATGCTTTCAGTTGTCACGGTCAAAATGCTTACATACATTGACAAGTCGTGTGGAGGAAACTGATTATCCATGGACCAATCAAGTTTCATTTTAGATTAAACAAAGATAACAACATAATAAGTTGAAGTGAACCAAAAAAAATCAAACAAAACTTCAAATTCTGACAACAAAGTTTTGAACTAAAGATAAGGCTACATCTGAAGCGAAAACAAAACTCATGAACTCCTATCAAACCATGTTTTCGAGTTTCGACCTCTCCTTTACATGGTTTCGTCGTTATTGCACACAAAATATCAAATGTCTTAACTTTTGAAATTTTATTAGTCAACCATGCATATGATTGGCAGAGCATTATTCAGTCTGAAGAATATTTGAAACCAACAAACACGGTTTTATTAGTATTATTATAAAAGAAAAATCATACCAAAGCTAGAAGATTTAAACACCTTGACAATTCGTCTATAATGAAACTAGATTATAACACGCTTGCCTTCTTCGAGAATGATTTTGCAACAACCACTTAAAAATACTATAATTTATTCAACTTATACAGAAATATTATACTCGTTACAAATCAATATTTTTAGAAAGAAAACAAAAACTCATTTCGATTATGATAATTATTATGTTCCATGTTAGCGAAAAAGTTGACAAATAACGCAATAATGGATAACTTAATATAACAGTCAAGATTACAAAAAAAAAAAAGGTTATGTAGATTACACATAAAACAATGCTTCATAGTTTCAAGGAATAACTCGAGTTCTATAAAAGCTTTCAATGGCCGTAAGAAAATTATAATAAAGTTTTGAATGATATAAAATTGAAAGGAACAAATCATATCAATAATTAAAAAAAATAGTTTTAAAACTTGTTAGAAATGTCTTTCGCTAGTTCTTTAATACCATTAAAAGAAAATCATGAGAAAAAATGTGACAAATTATGATCCAAAAGTATGCCTTAGCATCTCTGTGTAATTTATTGTTTTCCTTTTTGTTTGTTTGTCAACAACTAATTGTTTCCAAAGTTACTTGTTTAGAAATCGAGACTTTATAAGTTTACAACTATGTAAGCTATATATTTTTTTAATCTCCATCATAATAAAAAATAATAACTACGAATTATGTTACCTCAATATTAAAATTCAGGAGTAATGAAAATATAAATTTGTTGAATTCTCATAAAAGAAATGAAAAACATATTACTTATTTTTTCATTAGGGGTGGACAAATGGGAATTC